CAGGAATATATAAAGTTTACAACTCCCCTCTTCCCCTCACCCCAGAAAAACAAAAACAAAACAACCTCCCCCCCCAAACCAACCCAAATCAGTTTTGCTTAGTAGGTAGGAAAATGGCAACTACAAAATGTTATGATGCTTGCTTTTGCATTAGGGTTTGGGGTGGGGGGGGGAAAGAAAGGAAAACACAACAGAATTCAGCCAAGGTTGAAAGGAAAATCAGAATATCAATTAATCCTGCTTTTTAAACTGCTACGCATTTTAAACAGACAGCTTCTTTGTTCAGTGTCTTGGAGGATTTAACAGACTTAAAAAAAGATAAAAATAAATAAAAGTAAGGCAGAGGGTTTGGGGGAAGAAAAGATTTAGGGTGAAAGAGTGGGGTTACTGCCAAGAAAGTGATGAAAATCGGAGTGCTAGACTCATTGCACAAATTTACCTTCTCTTTCCTAAAGCTTTAACTCCCAGGCCCTCATCCTGTAGATGGGTTCAGACAGACAGGTGTGACCAAAAGCTGATTTACTAGTTAGTTATATACTCACTTCACATGCACAGTTCAGTAAATTCAGTGTTTAAATGCTGTTTGAAGTATGAAGACAAGAATGGAAACAAGTTTGCCATACCTGGCACTTAATTTCTGTACCGCAATTAAAGCAACATTCGGCAAGCTGATGACAACAATGAGCAGGGAATTGTATATAGGCCCCATGGGACAACACAGGTGCTCTCTGCACAGCTCAGGTGAACCTGAGGCTAGAGATGTTTTGAATCCTCTCTCAGATCCTCAACACTAAGAGCATAGCACACTTTCTCTGTGGCTGCTACCACCATCCATGTTTAGTGGTTGCCAGTGCACATATGCCCATGACTGACAGCCTGTTAGCTTTATACCCAGCTACCTACTCTTAACCTCATCTCACTTACTGATCACTAGTGCACAGACCCTCCTGTAGGGTCTTGTCATGGCTTGAATCTTTTATATACTGCAAAACAAAGGTAGCTCTTCTGCTCTTTTGAAGCGAGTCCCCAAAGGTCTTCACTGGGTTTTAAAGGAAGACACCATGAATGAGAGAAAGACTGTTCTTTTTAAAAAGAGAAAAGGCTGAAATTCAAGTTGACCATATTTAAAAAGTAAATATGAATGCAACTCTTGGGAAAAGAGGAAGAACTAACGACATTTGTAATCCCAGAGTCTGGGGTCTGCATCCACTAAAGAGCTTATTACAAAAAGATCATCTGAAGAACACTGTTTGCCCTGTATGCTTTAGCAATGCAGTGTTAGTGTGAAGGTAAGCATTTTAGGATACTTCTTTGTTAGTACTATGGATTTCCATGTGAAAGCAAAATTTACAAGAACAACTAGGTTATAGATCAGGACAAGGAAGGTCATCAAGAGAGACAGCTTCCAAAAAGTGGGAGAACGAGTGCTGAGCATCACTATGGGTTAGTCCACTAGGCTTTTGTGGCTGGAAACTAATGTTTGGATTTGGTTGCAATAAAACAGAATATTTGGGGAGCTCATCCTAATCTGCATACTGTATGTGGTCCTTATGTTGCCAACTATGAAACCTTAGGACTGGAATAATCAGCAATCTACAAGTTAAAATGGAAGCGCAGTTGTGAGGTGAACATAAGAAATGCCATTTACTGGGCAAGACGAGAGGCTCATTTAGCCCAATATCCTGTCCACACAAAGGCAGAGTGTGGGTGCGAAAGGGAAAGGGTGAACAGGACACATCCAGAAGTTTTCAAACCCTGTTCTTCTCCTACCATTGCAACTTCCAGCAATAAGAGGTTTAGGAAGTTCTGATTTTGAGGATGCACCCCTACCTACCATATTCAATACCTACTGAAGGTCCTTTCCTCCAAGAATTTGTCCAATTTTTTTTCTGATTTGTGTTAAGCTATCAACCTCCATAAAAGATGGCAAAGGGGAAATTACACAGCAACCCTCTGGAACCTAATCACAAGCACAGTATAGTTAAGAGTCACTCTTCGGGACAAATGTTTTAAAATGAGATGCCTAAAGCTAAAGAGTAAGATGGCACTGATGATGTGACATGACAGCAGGGACAGAAGACCTTTTTTTTTAAATGAAAAGTCTAAAAAATGAAAGGGATCCACCTTGCATGCCATAAGTAATTTATAGCCAGAAAATCAGCCCAATTTTCATTATCACTTCACTAACCTGTAAGCTTTTAATCTGTTTTCCCACAACTAGCAAAGATGACAGATGGCTTTAAGGTTCAGAGCAATTTCTAGCTGCTCTCCAAGTGTTTTATTTCATTCTTACCCAGTTATTTGAAGGCTTACTACAGGATTCAACAAAAAGCGAAGGAATTGCCCTGCCTCTCCCAATTTTTTAATATCATGCTGTACTAGTTTTCTTCTCCCCACTCTGCAACATTCTTCAGAGATTACACAGAGCCATAATTCTGCAAAAAGATTCACAAGTACGCTTAATTTCGAACACATGACAAATCCCAGTGGAGACATACCTAAATTTGCACATGCAGTTTGGCTAGCTAAAATTTTTGCAGGATTGGGGCCTACCATAGCATTTTTTTTTTTAATTTATTTTTTTAATAAAAAGGGAAAGTGAGCTCTAGAAAGGTAGGTGCTACCAGGTAAACAGGCAGATGTACTTTGGAGGCTGAGCATATTAAAAAAAATAAATCTAGGATTTAAAAACAAAAACAAATAAACCACACACAAACCCAACTCATGCACCTTGCCAATAAAGCTTTCTTCCTAATGTTTGTTAGACAATGAAAACTAGTTAGTAGAAGTCAACGCTACTATAAATCCTGTCATGCATGAATAGGAACAAGATGTTACTGTTTAAGTCATGTCATTCCAGAAATGAACTGTTATTAGAATCAATGGAAACCTGGTGCTGACCAGATAACACCATCCCTGTAAAAGCATAAAAACTTCAAAAACAGGAATGGAAAAATCTAATTGAAGTCCTGAACCTGATGAGAGAGTGTGACTCAAGTCAAGTTTCCAGGGACAAGTTAGTAGGTAGGTACCAGTTACGAGTCATGATCCTCCTTTTGACAGGCCTGAATGAGTTTGCAAACAGCTTCTCAAATAAATGTTTGTAACTTAGGTTTAGACATTTATTTTTCTTTGGAGTGTAACTGAACATTTAACACATTCTTAGAACTAAAGAACCCGTCTATACCTGGGAACTAGTTCTGTATGCTTGCACCAAAACAAGCCCCCTTTTGTTATTTTGTGTTCTGTGGAATTCAGTTAATCTTCAGTAAACTTATGCAAGTTAAAAGCCATTTTCTCACCAGTAAAGCCAGGTAAAAGAATAATTTTTTTTTTTTTACTTCATAAGAGAGAAGTTATTCATTTGACATTTTCAGTGCCATAGCAAAATGCCTTCTGAAGGTATAGAAAGTGCGTTCTGAAAGTAACTATTTGAAGTTACCATTTGCATGCATTTGCAAGCATGTTTTTGCTTTCAGTGACCTGTACAAGATGTAAAATTTAAGGCACCAGGAAAAAGAAATAAACACAAATACAAGCTCATGCCCCCTAGCCTGTTACTCTACTTCTGTACCACATTAAAGTTCACAAACCACTATGAGAAATCAATTTGATGAGGTCATCTTTAACTACCAAATGACTTACCAGAAACATTAATTGATGTTCCTGCATCAATAATTCCACTGTTAGGCCTTACACAGTATCTACGTGGTGCAGTAGTCTTCACTTTGAAGCACACATTTCTGTCTGTAGGATTTCCGAGTTTCAGGTTGGTGGTGACAACATCTGTGAAAGGACCTGCAGAACAGAGCAAAGTAGATTTCAGAGGATAGGAAAGTACTTTCCTAAAACTCTGAATTGCTAAGTTTGTGCCTACAAATCTTAAAATGTATTAAGACATTCAACAGTATATCTGTTTATACATAATCTAAGGATCGCTTGAAATCTCCGAACATCTGACCTGCATTACACATGAATACATATGACAATAACTAACTTATTGGTCACTAGCAGTAAGACACAAGGGGAGGATAAATTTATGTGTGGCACAAGAATAGTGGCCCCGACCTGCTGTTACACAAGTTTAGTTGTGAAGTAACTACTGAATCAGTTATTTCATAGCTGCATAAATACAACAAAGCATACAGCGTAACCTACTGTATTAGTTTGCGTGAATGAGAAAATCGTTACCGAAGGTAAGACCATTTAAACTATCAGCATGCAAATAAAAAGCTCCCAAAATTGCACATATTAAAGGGAGCAGCAGAGCTACTAATGAAGTAGCTAATACAGAGCCCAACCCTGTAGCTGGGTGCTGTGATGAAAGCACTGCAAATAAGAGATCCATAAAAACCCACACACTGCAACTAGCAGAGCATTCATTTGGGGTGGGGGGGGGGGGGGTGGAAGGAGGATGAGCACAACAGGGTTTTCTTCTTTATACAAAAGAAAAAAACCCCAAAAATCAAACAAACCAACAAATAGCCCCTCATGACATGGTTAAGCTCACCACCCAGGACCCAGATAGAAACTTCCCTGTTCCTACACTGGTACCAGTACTCTGGTTTCCACTAGTGTTGCCAAAGCCCTTAGTCATCAATAGTTATAGGCAAGCAGAAGAAATGCAGTTGATCATTATATTCAGAAATGCTCAAACACCAAAAAAATCTGGTCTCTCAGGGTCTGTCTATTGCTGAGTTAGCCTGAGCTCGTGTGGCTAAAGCATCCTGACTACTAAAAATATGCAGGAACATTCCCAGCACTTCAGTTGTTCAGCCTGTATCCTCACTTGAAGTGGTCAGGTTACAAACCCAAGCACTGCAGCATGGGCCACCTATCTTGGGCCGAAAGCATTATTACACTCACGTTTATGTATCTTGATGGGAGCTAGGATAGGAGGCAAAACCCAAGAGTGTGTTAACTCTCCAGAGAAAAAATTTTTATTCTCGTGCACCTAACACGAGGGCGGGCAAAATGCGGCCCGTGGGCCGGATGCGGCACGCCAGGCTATTCTATCCAGCCTGCGGGACCCCTATAAAAATTTAGAAAATTAATATTTATCTGCTCCTGGCTGCCTGCCATGTGGCTCTCAATGGCTTGCCAAAACTCAGTAAGCAGCCCTCCACCCAAAATAATTGCCCACCCTTGACCCAACAGCTTCTAAACATCTGGTCTTTAAATTTACAGAAGGAATTAAAATAAAAACAAAAGAAAAAAAAATATGAATCTGTGGTTACTTGCTATTTCCAAAAAAATGAAAACTATCCTTCTATAGATTGACTGATAGAGTGCAATTCCTAAACGAAATTTCTCTAACAAAAAAACCCCCCAAAACACCCCT